ATAATCGAGCAGCAAACCAAACACACCGCAAGCTAGCTGCTGAAGCCCTGGTCTTCTGGCTCTAAGAATAAATCAGTTTCCCGAAGCATTTCAGCACAATGACATCCACTTTGCATACGATAACACTGGAAGAACAAGGTCTGTTTGATAATAATGACAATGGATACCACCACAGTTAACTTACATGCAACATTAAACTGGCCACTGTAACAATTATGAATGAATGGCACCAAAATGACAGACAATCAGACTTGATGGCCCACGATTTTATTCATCAGAGTGAGACCTCACTCTATCATTTCCTCTCCGTCTACCTTCATTAGTACATCTACACATGCAACAGCCAAGTACTGTGGCAGCCAATCACACAAAGTAGTATAGTCATTTGGAAGGAGGATAGCTGCAGTTAGTGCATCAGTATGTTCAACTCCCTGCTTTGTCCTCAGATATATTTTAATGGAACCGTGGAAACGCTCTTCTCCTTTCACCTCATTTGGCTAAACCACTGAGCATGAAAAAGATATAGGCTACATTATGCCATTACTCTTTATTTAATCGCACAGCAGGACAGTTTTTTAAATAAAGCACATGTCTTAACGTAGAACAACTGCACTTAAAAGCTTTACTATTGTCATCCTGGTAAACATTAAAGTAACTGTAAGAAATAGAAATTTTACTTCTCCTTCTTTCATCATCTTTCCAGAATTTGTACTCTTAAATGTAATTCTACTGCAGTCTGGAGTCTTGTCATTTGTATTTGCCAAGAGGTTACCCAGGTGTATTTCATTCTTCTTTTATTGTTTTATGGTCTTAATATCTCTGAGGTGAGCAGATGATGATAAATCAATACAAACAATACTTTTTCTCCAAGGCAAATACCAAGGGAGCGGTCAGTGTGTGTGTCATAGCTCGAATCTGTGCTGGATATAGGCATGCAGTGCACTTGCCAAATGTAAATCAACTATTGATATGAAGCATAGGATTATATGCTTCATATCAATAGCATTATTTGAGTAGTCACAAGCAACAAGAAGATAAGACATGGTGGATATTTAGCTTAGACAATCCCGGGGAATTTCTGCCGCGCCTCATAGAGAAACAGCCCCATCTGCAGGATTTTAGCATGTGTGGAACCCAACGCCATCCCCTCCCACTTGGCGAAGTTACCATAACTTTAAATTCAAGTGCATCTCTTTGTTTCAGCAAAGCTTAATGAGTCTCCTGAGAGTACCCCCAGGTGAAATCGCTCTAAAATAAAACTCCCCTTCTCTAACACAGAACAATGCTGTTTGGGTTTTGCTGTTTTGTTTTTTTAAATACAGAAAATACTGTATGTGCAGATTTTAGATGGGACACTGCAGCACTTTGCCAGCAAAATAAAGGTGTTCTCTTTCACAGTGTTGACTTGGTGAACAATATCCTGGAAGTGGTCAGCATGGACTCAGCGTTTCTGGACACAAGGTGCTGGGTTCCCCCAGAACTAAAAGCAAAAAAAACACGAGCATCTGCACATGCTCACACTTGATATACTCAGAGGAGCGCAAGCTCAGGGCTTAAATACACACACACACACACACACACACACACAATGGGAGATTGGCCATGCTCTCTAACCCCTTTCTGTGTACACGGACCTGCCTCTCAAATATCACTGAGTCCAGACAGAGGAGAAAGACCTTTGCAGAACAAAGAAAGGTTCTGATAAGGAAGCGCTTGCTGGTGACACTCTGCCTTTTCTTCTAACTACAAAGAGACCATCTGCCCCTGCTGGCTCGTCCGAATTGTCCTCTTCTCTTGACTCATTTCAGATATGACGAAAACACCAAAGACATTTGGAAAAAAAAACACAGGCGCGGAAGAGGGGGCAGTTTTTGAAGTGGGTTGCATTGGAGTGATGAAAGGGACAATATTGAAGTTGCAGAGTTGAGCGAGCTTGTAACATAGGGTTAGGCTGAAGAGCTCAGAAGGAGTAAGCAAAGTAACCTTGACAAGAGCAGCTACATTTCACCCAGACTTACTCTCTTTTTAGGGTCCCTGAGGTGTCAAAAGGATGCTTAAATTAATAAAAGAAAAGGAAAAACAAAACTCTACAGTATAACAGTATACATCATTATAGAGTTTGCTGATTCTCATAAGTAGTGCTTTTGTGTGTCTTCGCTTGTGCGTGCATGTGTGTGTGTCGAAAAGAGCTGGAAGCCATGCAGAGGTATGAGACAGATGTGTGTGCCGGTCATTACTGTAATAGCTCCATTTACTTCATCTACCCTGGGAGGGACATCTGGTCAGCACCATCTGGACACACACAAACCATACATGGCAACCGCCATCCGTGATGGGGTTTCATGGGTAGCCAGCCAGCAACAGGAGGAAAGCTTCAAAATGGTCATTACATATGTGTGTATGTCTGACAGTGCACGCATTAGCCATCTCTGTCACTCTCTCAGTTTCTCTCCCAGTGACTTCCTTCTCACTGAGTTCACGTCTTCCTTTTTTCTCATCTAGAGCCTCCTCTTTCATACATTTCTCAGCCTCCCCTGAGTCCGACTGCTTCTGAAATGAATCCGTCGATTTTGCCCAGAGACTAAAATGCAAAATGAAAAAAGCCACGGTGAGTAGTACCAAAGTGCAATTGTCTGAGACTCCTACAGTGCCCGAGGAGATGATGGTCATCATTTTCTAAGTGCGTGTGTTTGTGTGTATGCGCACGTGTGTGTGTGTGTGTGTGTGTGTGTGTGTGTGTGGATGCGCGTGACTGTAAGTTACACAACATCACAACACCTCTCATGTCTTCTTGCTCCTGGGTGAGGA